AATTTATTGTTTTCAGATTAGTTGAATGTGACATTTGCTAATCGGTGAATTAAGACCCAAAGTTGATCAAATTTCTCGGCATTTAAAGGTATGTACTATAGCTTTATAGATTTTATAGCCTTGTTTGTTTTTCACTGTCTGCCTGAGAAAGTACATAAGTGAGTTGTGCTGAAAGGTCCGTCAGAAATTAACGATAGTGATCTTGGGTATCATTTTTTACGACAATCCCAGCCTTATAAAATGCCGGTGCTCCGTAACAAGAGGAATCAACATGTCTTACAGAGGATTTGTTTTTCAAACACGTTTGTCACAATGTTCCGTGCATAATTACGTGAAAAATCTTGTGCAAATAGCCGAAAAGGAAAAAGCCTGGATTAACTTGTGTTTTCAATCTGATGCTTGAGATTTAAAAACGTCAAAGAAGAGACACTTGGGAATAGACTAATTAATCTTCAGGACAGTGTCAGAAGCTTTGCATATTTTAATAGTAATACCTTTTTTAGTTTTTCTTTCATCTTAACTGATGCCTAATGTCTGTGTGCCTATTTTATCTATTTATTTTTTCTATATGCTGCTTGCTCATGTATCACAAAATGGTACAGCTAAAAAAAGTATCTTAACCTAATTATAAAATGAGAATATTGATTAAATTTAAAAGTTAAAAAATTTTTTTTATTTGGTTGGTCACTTATTGATGAACGTTGGCTTAGAACAAGGGCGGATTTAGGGGCGCCTCCCCCTCCCGCCTTTTTGAAGGTAAAAAGAAAGAAAGAAAAAGAAAAACTTGATAACCCAAAACACCTCAAATGTTATTTTCGGGCGTCTAGAACACAAAAATTTCGCAGGGGAAAGCCCCCGGACCCCCTAGGATAGTGTTGTCTCAATCGGCCCAACTTTCGTAATAAGCCCCTTTTCCACTAGGCAAATGTATTCGCACGAATCAAAAGCATCGGTTCTTTTCTTGAGCTCTGATTATTTTTTTTATTATATATATTATTTTATTTTTTTATTTTTCCGCTTTGCAAAGAGTAAAAACAGTTCACACTACTAATTTCGCTGCAGCGAAAAACTGATGGAAATGTGAATGCGCACACGCATGAATCAACCGTCTCAGTTCACGCAAATAATGTAAAATAGGCTTTAGCTGTAGCATGATATATTCAACAATATATGTTGTATATATTAATATAGCTTAATGATATGCATAATTTGGCATTATCAGTGAAAAGCATTAACATAGTATTTTTAATATGAAAAATGAGGGTCATGAGAAAATGGCATGGTCTAATTCGGCACAACAGACGATTGCCTACCTACAGTAATAATTACCAAAACAATAATAATTGGTAATTTTTCTACACTAATGGGACTTCATTTCCTGTTTTAAAGTAAATGAAGAAAGAAATATTAACAGACTAGGAAAGACAATGATTGTAATCTATTAACATGATGATGCTTTTACAAAATTCTGATTAAGATGCTGCCATTCTTGATTTCTAAGAACTCTTGCACATACAGTATAGAGCAGACCCTATGCGCTTTTTAATTTATTATTCTGTATACTGGGTTTTGTGTTTTTAACCTCTCAGTGTAACTAATTGTTTGAACCTAATAATTATATAAGATTTATCGGAACAAGTGCCGGAAATAAAACCATGGAAAACTCACGGTCTTTAAGCAAGCGAGACTTTTGTTGTGAAAGCCGGAAGCAGACTCCGTATCAGATGACAGAAAGAATTACATAGCTACTCGCGCTGCAAAGTGCGAAATTAATCACGATAAATTTTCAACAACATTCAAAACGTCAGACTTATTTACGCTGTATAGTGTTATTTCTGACAGGTTGTCTCGAAGATTGTCAATGAAGTACCGTATAATGAATGAATGACGATAACCTGCAGTAATTAATTCTCATCCAATTTGCGATGTTAAGTGTTTGCCCTGTTTTTATTTTTCTCCAACATGTCTGTGAAAATTATTCCTCTGCGTAGGTGTTGTAGTATTATCTACTTTGTGGTAGACAGTTTTTACAAGTGTGTTGCTTAAGTGAGGTTATTGTTTGAGTTTTTTTTCCTGGTGTTGCTGCCATATGCTTTTGAGTGTCTATGATGATCCAATTTAATCAAGACATATGGACCTTCAACCAATCAAAAGTGTTTATTATGAAAGAGTAGTTATTGTTATGCTGTGTCTCGTCAAAAATATAATATGCAGAAACATGTTTTTCCAAGCATTTCTTTTCTCCTTCTCCACCACCCATCCCACTCCCATATACTCCTCCCTATACTTTTTTCTAAACCGAAGAAAATTATTACCTCACAGACATTCTTGGTTATAGGTAACTTTGTATTGAAGTTGAGGAGCTCAGGCATTTTTGGAAACTTTGTTTTAACTCTTTTCTGTGCAATAAAATTTCAAGGAAATAGTAGTGCGCATTCAAAATGTAAAGGATTATTTCAGTGCTTGAGTATTATAAACATGCAACATCAATTGAGCTTGTCATTTTAGTTGTAATACACACATTGTTTTTTGTTAATGTTAAGCACAAAACATACATACAAGAACACGAGTAGTACCGAATTTAAAGTAATTATATAATAGATAGATTGTATTGCCGTGTATGAGAAATATTAGCCACATAGATTAGATTTTTTTAACATGCTTTTTTAAAGTTTTCAATTGATAGTACTTAGAGGTGGTATGGTTCAACATGTTTCAACTCGCCTATTATAAGGGCAGACAAGATTAATAAGGGCGGATTAGGGCTTAACAATTGGGCTCACTTAACAGAAGATTTTTATTAAAAGAGTTTGAAAAAAAATATACATTTCTTCTTCAATATACTCTACATCCCCACTTCCTAGACTGTTTTCTTTGGGACCCAAGTTTTGATTTCCAACACTAGCCACGACCCATCTCATAATTTGATAGTAAGCATATATACACCAAGTTTTTTCAAAGGTTATACCCATTTGAAATGTATTGGGAAAATGCTCTTCTTATAGGTACAGTAACGTGCCCCTTCCAGGAAAATTTTGTCTTTTAAGGCCAAGAAATCATTATATATCTCATATAAATATGTTTAAATCAAATCAGAATCAAAGTTTATTTTTCTAATACCCTTATTAATAATATTGACAAATTTTTGCTCAATCATTTCTCCACTTCCCCCATCTGCTCCGTGTTGTATCCGTGTTTTGTACTTGTTTCGTTTATGAATTTATTTCAATGAAATTTATGCTTTCGTAATTATATAGATCGCTCGCTACAAGTGCCATTTGAAAAATGGTCTTTCTTTTTGTCATTTGGCGTATACTTTTTGAGCAGTGCCCTCCATCACACCAGTCGTCTTTTTTATGAAATCCGGTTGTTTAATGTATTTCATTTATCATATTGTGTAAAGAAATAAATGTTTATTTGAATTTTGAATTTAATTGACAACGTTTCTGTTTTAAGTTCATGTCAGTGTTTAGATTTACACGATTATGTTGTGGTAAAGATATAAGATATTCATTGTGGACATATACTGTTATAAATAAAATGTTGTTCTAATAAAGATTCACCTAAAAATACCATTTTCAAGTAGTCAGATCAGTTATAGCCTTTACAATCTGTTTTTAGCAAATTTGCTCGTGACCCAACGCAAAAGTTTGGCAACCCACTTTTGAGTCGCGACTCATAGTTGAGGAATACTTGTTAATCTGGTTGTTTGATAAGTGGAGTTGTTATACAGAAGGCATTTCTAAGCAAAACATGACATGACACCCAAAATTTCAAATTGATGGTGGTATCATAACTAGTTTGGTATCAAATTATAGCTAGTCTAAATTTGATACCAAAAGAAGATACAAAAAAATATTGATGTTTTAATTATTTTTTCATGGGAAAAAATTGTCATTATTTATTAATTATGTGTAAAACACACAAAAAATACAATTAACTGTTAAAAGATAACACAATAAAAATACTATAATTTAACTTATAGAATAATAAATTAACTTGTGTAATGAAATAAACTCCCTGGTTGATTCAGTGGCTTGATTTTATTGTAGAGAGTACTTTTCCTTCGAAATCCCCATTCCCGGCAACATTTCACTAGAATACTCTAATAGAAAACCATGGAAAAATATTGGCATAAATTTTGGTTTTACACAAAAGGATAAAAAATATGAGAAATAGAGATTACAGTATTTCTCATAGGAAATTTCTATTTTATTCAACAACTTCTTCATTACTAGGCAAATTCAGAGGTTGTAAATTGCATCCGATGGAATGCTCTCGCTTTTGTGTATACGTCATATAGTCAATAAAGTGTGCACTCTCTGATGAGGTTAGTTTTTGTACTTTGCATCTCGCACACTGCGATCGATCAAGTAGGCCTGAGATATGTTTGTCTAATTGTCAAATTTCTTTCCAGAATCATTATTTTAAACAAATTTTAAATAATTCCAATGATTATTATATTTCGCAAGTGTCAATACTAGTAATGGAAGATACCATGTTGGCCGTTTTTATGTCTGATATAACAGAACCTAAATCGAGGTAAGGCTAGGCCTAGCCTACCGGTGGTGCCTACTATATTTCTTCGCAGACATATCGCAAAATCAAACATAAAAAATTCATCCAAAACCATCAAATATTCAGGTAACCACCTCCATTAATCATGCTTCACACAACCATTTTATCTTTCCTTTGATCTCCCACAAAGGTTTTACTTTCAAACCCAGACCAGAGACCCTAAGTAGTTTCGTGTCTAGATCCCTGTTATACTCATTGGACCAATGTAGGAAAATTCTGTTAAGCCACCACTGTGTCATTCATAAAATGGATTTGAGGGTCCAAATAAGATTACGGTACATATTACAGTATCATGTTAAAATTGTCTTGTATCATATTTCATGCTATCTTAAATTAAAGATTGAGGATAATATAATGTTTAAACGAAATTCAATATTAAAACCTTGTTTTTTATCTTATTTCTTTAATTGATTTATCTTCCAATTAGTGTTTCTATGGTAATATTTATTATTTCTGGTTATTTTTTAATGAGTAGTTGGTCTTTTTAAGATTGTTATGAATAAATGTATCATTTCATATTATCTTTAAATTAAGATGGAGGATAATTTTTAATAGAAATTCAATATTAAAACCTTGTTTTTTATCATGTTTCTTTAATTGATTTATTTTATGGAGGAACAGAAACTGTTTCTTCCCTCCATGATTTATCCTATAAATTAGTGTTGCTATGGTAATATTTAATAATTCTGTTTATTCTCAAATGAGTGGGTTGGTATTTAATGAATTGAAATTTTTTAATGAGGACTGATAAGTCAGGTAACGTGCGTGGGTCTTATATGAAAACTTTAATGTCCAGAAATATACAAGCAGTAATAGGATCAATCAAGTAGAATTACTATAAATAACACTATTCCTTTACACACAGCAGTAAATGGTAAATACAGCATAAGGCCAAGTACAATACTAGTGACAATATGGTGCTTACTGTACCTTGCCAAAACCACCCTCAGTGATCAAAACAAGAAAATTGACATTTTAATATAATTATATTCTCCATGTTATAAGATTTACGGCTTCTCTGTACTGAAGTATACAATACTGTCACATTCTTATGCTAATTAGTAATAACAAAAGTGGATATTTATAAGGCGCCGGTATTCACATAGTGCGCTCATGGTGCCAGAGCCATGCAAGACAGAAGAAATACGAGAATGGGAAAATTAAAGAAGATATAGTGCAAGAAAGATTAAAATTAATTAGTTTAACATTTAGCAACAGTATGCTGGTTTTTGGGATGGAACGCCTTATATGACACTTTAGATAACAGATTTCCGATACACTAAGAACTCTGAAAAATCGGCTGACCCTAGACGTTTTTAAATTTCACAGTAAAAGTTTACTGTACGTGAGCGAGGTGGGCGTGGTCGGGCGTCACTCAAAATGTTTCAAAAGTGGTCCATGGGCGTAAAATATGACAATTAGTGGCTTTAAAGGCTTATTTACACTCCTCTCCTGTAAAACCTCAAATTGAAGGCCTGGGCTTTCTTTGGATGTGCTTCTTTTCAAGATGGGCTTCTTTTCGAGATGGGCTTCTTTTCTTTTGCAAAGTAAAGAGGGGGCTTCTTTTCAAAATGAATGCTGTAAATTTTGTGAATTTGTGCTATAAAACAATAAATAAGGCCACTGTAACATCAATCTATATCATGAAGTGTATATAAATGGCATTAAATCAACTATGACTACTATATAAACCAATTTTTTTTTTAATTTATTTTGTTTTCTGAAATTCATGTGAAGTGTTGGTACTGTACTATCTCAAAAAGAAGCCTACGCTATCTTGAAAAGAAGCCCATGGGCTTCTTAGCTTCTTTTCGAGAAGGACCGATTCTCAAGGATACTTTTGCATAACTGAAAAGGGGGGGCCTTCAATTCGAGATGGGCTTCCCAAGATTAAGCCCACTGGGCTTCAATTTGAGGTTTTACGGTATATTATATACTAAAGTATTTTCTATACAGATAGTTGATTAGTCTAAATAAGAACGTGTCCTTTTATTCATTGCAGATTTTCTGTTATTAGTGTTTTCAAACCTTATTTCAAGATGGCCGTTAATTGGGGTGGGTTGATAGCTGTTATTATATTCTACATTGTTATTCTGTGCATCGGCTTGTTTGCTGCAAGGAAAACTAGAGGCAAAACGGATTCGGAGGACCTGATGCTGGCAGGCAGGAACATAGGCTTAGTGGTCGGCATATTTACTATGACAGGTAAGACTGCTAGATCTCCCTGTGTTGTGTTTAATACACTATAGTATACAAATATCGACTGCTTATGAGGGGAATGGTGAAATCTGATTGCCCTGAGGTGATGTGGAGACCGTAACCTATAGCCCGAGGGAAGATAGGCTACGGTCTCCACATCACCGAGAGGCTATATATTTCACCGTTCCCCGAATCTAGAGCAGTCAATATTTGTTTATACATAGATTCTACGAGACCTAAAATGAAAATAGTACACACCAAGTAGGCCTTGGCTTGCTTCCTAGGCCAGGCGATCAAAGGGCCAATCTCTCTCAGCATTGTAGAGGTGGCGTCTCCTTTACTATTCGTGTGTGTCATAAATTACATAGCAATGCGGCCTAGAGATTGCATATCGCACGGCAGAGCAAAATAGTACTAAGTATAGGGTAATAGTACTTTCTATAGCCCACTTCGTAACCAATCAGATACCTAGAATCTGTGTATGCGGTATATAAAATTCAATATTTTAGTTGCTTAGCAACTTAGTAATTATAATTTAAAAATTAAACAAGAAAATATTCTTACCAATTAACTGACCAATAGCTAGTACAATTTCTTTATCTTTACGTAAAGCCCTAATAGCTTTTAGATTATAAAGATATTTGTACAATATTAACGGTGTATAAATCTGCAAGACTGCATGTCTAAATCTGTCTCAATGAAAGTTGTTCACACTATCATATTTTATGTGACAAATAGATGTGATATGTCCATATTTTGGTGTAATATGACATCACCATACCCATATATGGGCAAATCGTACAAATTTGTCACATACAATTTGATATAGCGTGGACAGACAATTTTAGAGTGCGTTCGAGCCAGAAAAATATCCGTGCGAGGTCCGTGTATTTACACGGAAGTTAAATGCCGTGCGTGGCTCGAACAGGGGTAAGATGTAAAAAACAATCTGGAACACGCTCGCCTATTTTGATCACCAAATTTAGGGTTATAGAACCGTGTATCGCTGTCAAAGGCCATTATCGCGACCATTAATCATGTTTTAATGACTCTACCGTCTGGCAGTCAACATGAATTCAATTCAACACGCGCGAAAACCATAGACCTGTCCAGTTTTACAAAAACAAATGCATTCGCTGACCTGTTAATGTTACAGCATCATCTTCATCATTTCATCATGTCTGTGTGGACCGAACCTATGATACGTTACCTTCTCTCATTGGGGAGGGGGGGAGACAGAATACAAAGACAACTGGACGGCACTTGCCGAAACAGCGGTATTTACAAAGAAATAACTGCAAAGATCGAAGAAAAATTTAGGGGAAAGCTGACGGTGACACAGGTCACCAATAAACTAAAGTATTTGCGCAGGGAGTACAGTACAAGTGCGTGAAGCGTGGTTAGAAACATAAATATTGCGTGGCATGATGGGATATACTATTGCCTCGCTGACCTCAATCGAGTATTTCCGAGGTAAATTTTTACACGGTTAGACAAGATAAGTTTGTGCTCGAATGCGGGGACCCCCCGTGGTGTAAAGCCGTGCGTTTACCTGTCATATACACGAAATTTAATAGGCGTGTATGGCTCGAATGCACCCTTAGAGAATTTGATCCTTTCAAATAATATTCAATGGTTTTATTGAATGGAAGTTTTTTTAGGCAACATATCTTTAAGCTCATGGTTGGCATGCAACCTGCATCATGTGTCTGACATTTTGAATATTTTCGGGTCGTCTTGACTGTGTTTTTAACTTGCTTTTCAATGACCAACGTCACACAGTGTGTGTTTAGTGAACATTAGTAAATGCATGTTTCAAAGATTGAATGTGATTGAATGTGAAGGCTTTAGTGGTAATTTTTTTTTTCGTAATTTTTAACAGGGTGCAAAACATACTCTTTTTCTGTTATCCCTCCCCCCACCCCCAGAAACTAACATAATAGTAAGAATCACTGTTAGCCCCTCTCTTAGTGTATGCGTACTGTATAGGCCTACTCGTAAATTGCAATATGGATGATACTTTATAAACTAAAGTCTCTTTAGTGATGATGATGCTTGAAGTATAGAGGATATTTTCAGTTTATGGACAACCTGGGATTAGAAGACAAGCGTCTTAACCCCCCAATCAATCAATCAATCAATCAATCTATCTATAGAGCCTCTATTCTATTTTATATTTTGTCAAAATATGGCCAAATCGAATGAATGAATAAATATGTAAGTAATAAATATTGTATCGTTACTGAGATTAAAACCTTGTACAAGATCCTTCAATGCTTTTTTCTAGTCTCATAATGGACTCTTTTTTTGTGTTAGTGGATTGTGATTTTTATTACTTGCCATATGGCCAAATTTAATATTTGTTTATTTATTTATTTTTTTTTTATTAATATAACAAATTTTTATGAATAATGTATCATAATAGTAAACTACATTTTAAAATATTGTTACTTAATATTCAGATGATGCAAGTTTTTAAAAATGCTGGAATAACAATCAAGACATTTTGCTTTCCTTCTGCCTTACATGAAAGTAATCTAATGTGAAAATCAATATGGTTCTCAAAAAGACCGATCGGTAATCAATGTTGTTGTGACGGAGTTTCTAGTAAGAAAAGCGAGCAGACAATTGATATTAAATGCCTTCAGGGTATAATCTATTAGAAACTAGGGGGTCATAAATCTGTTTTGTTCTATTTATTATTACATGGTAGTTTTGCATCTCGGTGATTTTTATTCAGATTTTTATGTTTTCTAGAAAAAAAAAGTGGGGAGAAAAAAATGCAAAATGTAAATCATAGTAATTATATATTTTAAATATATTTTGAACATATGTATTATGTACAGTACTAGAAGCTAGTTGGTAATCCAACTAATCTAATCTAATCTAATCTAATCTATTTTATTCTATTGACATAAAATGTGACAAGGAGAACACAAAACAATGAAGTTATATTCTTAATATAATATTCTTGACATATTATTCCATTATATCAAGGTATTTTTATTGAAAATATGGTAGCACAAAGCTGAATTGAGATAAAGTGTACAAATAGCAAATCAAAATATGAATAAAATTAGACTGAAATTTACAATCACATTAGCATGTTAATAAATAATATTAAACTACCCACACACATACACACACACACACACTTGCAAGCAAGATCATAATGTATCCCTATGGAGCAGCAACATACATTTGTATGCCCTGTAAATCGCATACTAAAATGGCTCTTTGCATTACAGGGAGATTGGAAAGAAGAGCACATAAAATGAAGAGTTATATTTAACATGCATCTTTAAGTCGTGATTAAAATGAAACACAGTTTGCGTTATTGATGATGACAATATTTTATGGTTTAATGTTTTTTCACTGAAGCGATTAAAGTTTTGATGTGAATGTTTGGGAAAAAATATTGAAATCATAGCAAGGTATTTTTGGCTCTGCCTACTAAACTTCAAGACCATGCTGCACACTTTTTACTGTACTAATTCAGTTTTAATGTTATGTGTCAGTTTTATTCTTGATAAGTAATATTACAGGAGGCTTGCCATCCAAAAACCAGCGTACTGTCGCTAAATGTTAAACTGAGTAATTAGCAATAGATGTAGCAGTGTTGTGTACTTTAGTACAGAGAGGCCATAATTCTTTTACTAATAACTTAACCTATCATTTTAGTTTATAATGTTGAAAATATGAAAATTAAAAAGTCAATTTTTTGCTTTGGTCACTTATGGCATACCCCCGAAATAGAATGAAAATCTGATTAATTTCTTGCAGCAACTTGGGTTGGTGGTGGCTACATAAATGGTACGGCAGAGTTGGTCTATTCCACTGGACTGTTATGGGCGCAGGCGCCGTGGGGCTATGCTATTAGCCTTGTTATTGGTAAGTATGTTGTGTAGTTTCCTGGTTGTAACCCCCACCTCAGGTATTTTAAAATGTGATGGTCTTATACCTGAGAAACGGTGATAATGCAATTTGGTTGATGAATGTGAGTAGACCAATATTTAATAGACTAAACATAATCAATTAATATATTGATGAAATTAAATATTAATAACTTTAACTGTTGATATACTTTGCCAAGCATATTTCACAAACCCAGCATGCAGCATGGAATAAACACTGCTTGTAACAGAAATCAACCTTTCCAGAGAGTCCATCAAACTTAACAACTGCCAATCAGAAGAGGGCCACGAACCCTCGCGTCTCACAAGCACACATGTTGTTCCACAAATGCGCGTGTTTGCATATATTTTCATACTGTCATTTCTGGGACTTTGGATTGGATTGGATTTATTCGGTGTAAACACCAAGAATCTAGAAGACGACTTATTTCCAGTGGGGTCTTTCTGGTGGTGATTGGGCAGTACACCGGGAGACAATCCCCTACACTTTTCCGAAGAGTACTGCGTTCTTTAATGTGCACATGGGCCATAAATGCACACGGGACCAACGCCTTAAACGTCTCATTCGAAAGACAGTGCGCTATTGTAATTTGTATTTTAGCCCTCCAGCTGAAACACAATGAGAGGCAGCGATGGGAATAGAACCGGTGACCTAGAGATCTTCATGGTTCAGCGCACACACAGTGGCTACCACCAGATTAGCCGACTGAGCTAAGCTGGTCTCTTAGCAACAATATCCAAGGTGTGAAGCTTTGCAGAAATGTCAGTTTGATATTTTGAGGAACAAGAATTTTCGTTTTTTCTAAGACATATTATTAACACTGCCCGCCAAACACTGAGATCTCTCTGTTTGGTAACGCAATGCTTGACCACCAAACACGGAGATATCTCCGTGTTTCAGGTTTCTTTAAGGAATCCGGTAGATGGTGTAATTACTGACATGTACTAACAATTTGAACACTATATTCAGTCTGGACTGTCAGTTTTTCACTTTTTGTTTGTTTACATTGAGGGTAGCGGTATTGATGTACTTTCACGAAATCGCGATTATCTGAGATTCGTTGTGCGAAATTGCGTAAATCTCCAAAAGTGAGTCATTTTAATTTTACTGTTACGGGGGTCACCGATTGTGATTAGAATAAAGTGTTTGGTACCAATGTAAAGCTAAGATGTTTGTAGTTCTTGTAATATTCATTACATGTCAATCTGATCACATACGCACTCTCAACGAGGTTCGGAAAAGTGTTAAAATTCGCTAAAAAGTCTGGCGGTGGCTGATATTTTTTTTCAAACCCCCGGCAGTCTACTTTTGAAATAAGGTTTCTGCAGATCGGTACCGTAGGACAGAGTATCAAATCAAATTGAAGATAATGAAGACAAAACAAGTATTTTATATTTTTGTGACCATGGAACTAGTATTAAATTACTCATCTGACCAAAAGATATAACCATTAACTTTGATATGGCCAGTCAGAGCAAATGATATCCCATTGTTTTTATTGAACCATGTGAACACTGTCACGAAGAAACTGTGCCATCGTAACTAAAGGACTTATATTGATCAGTGTGCTGATTGATTTGTAAGCTAAGACGACTCCAATAATGTATTCTAGCAAATTAGTCCACTTTGATGGGTCACATGTATGTGCTTGTGCTCGTAAACTGTGCAGACTGTGCTAGGCTGAATTAGCTCGTTCTGAATTCCTACACTCCATTTGGATAATAAGTTTACGGGAAATTATAACTGATATCTGGAAAAGACAAAACGTGTTAATGTTTAGATTACTAATAAAGTCATTTATGTAATTGATTTAACTTAATGAGGAAGATCTTCAGTTATAAGGATAGGGATGTCATTTAAAATTTTTTTTTTAAATATTTGTGTACTAAACAATATTGTTTCTTATCTCTTTAAAGGTGCTTTTTTGAAAGTAATATAAAACCTAAAATGTGATAGATTTATGTAGGTTTATAATATTTATATAGCCTATAATATTTTATTTTTTCTATGTTTTTTAGGTTATTTTTTATTCCACATTTACATTATACACAAACATAACATGTATAAAGAAAAGTAAATAATTCAGTTGGCATCACAACCATATTGTCTTTTTGTAAGGCAGTACAATTAATTTTCTAATAATAAATAAAAAATTATAATATTAATGTTTGATGCTGGAATATTTTCTTTTTCTTTAACTCTACAACTCTACCTGTAAAAAATTCTAACATAAAGATAAGTAATTAATTCAGTTGGCATCATAACCATATTGTCTTTTTGTATTAAAGGCATTACAATTAATGCTCTATTAATAAATAAAAAATTATAATTATTGTTTGATGCTTGAATATTTGGTTTTCCTTTAACTCTACAAATCTACCTGTAAAATATTTTGTTATAATAATGATAATTTTATTAGTATTACTAGTATAGTATTACTTTTTTTTTTTGTTATAATGATGATGATAAAGTTTAGATAGTATTATAATGCCTATGAAATATTACATTGGTTTGCACATTTACTCAAACTACATCAGGAAATAGGAAAATTCGTTCAGCGATAACACATACAGTACCACTCGAATTCTACATGATCCCTGAACTATATGGAACACAAAATTCTTCTGCTGACCTAATTTTCCACTTTGAACTTTAGAAGTAAATCCTGTTTATTCTAAAAATTGACCCATTGCTATGTAAGTGTATTTAATGAAGGAGTGTGACGTTTTTAACATTATGGCGTTCATCGCGATTAAGTGCCAGTGACGAATAACCTGTCTATCTCGTAAATTGAGCAATATTCTGCCACCTGTTATGTATAGCAGGTATGTTGATGATATTGCCGTATTCCCATGGATACATTACACTTACTCATAAATTTCACACAAGTATCTGATTAAGATCGCAAACAAACAAAATATTCGTCAGCTAAGTATTAAAACGGAATTTTAAAGACAAATTTGCTTTTATTTGATTACTGTAAGTATATTCAAATCTAATAACGTTCATTATGAAAAATATCCTTAAATAAAGAATGTAAAATAAATTTACAACTGATATATATAAATTGTTTTTATCTCTTGTTATATTGTATTTTGTTAAAGTGGACCCTTTGGTATCTTTCGCTGCCAATGTGGATTTTTTCACATCTGTACTGAAAAAGCAATAAAATATTACAAAATACAGTAGAACTCCTCTTAAGGGACACCACCTTTGAGACCGCAAAAAATGTCCCCTTAGGGCTATCCCCTGAATAGGAGTTGGTCATAGTGTTAACCCCTTAATAGGGGTGTCCCAAAGGAGGGGTTCTATGTCAGGCCCGTAGCCAGGTTCTTCCAAGGGGGGTTTTCTGGGCGTGAGGTCCACGGTCGAAGCCCCAGTGGGGTCGGCAAAACTCCCAAAACAAGGGGATTTTTGTGCTTTATGGGTCTGAATAATGCTATAAAAGCAGATATGTTTGAAAAGGTCTTGTCTGGGTGGGCCTGCAGTGCATTAGTTGGGTTGGAGGACTTATTTGGGAAATTTGAAGAGGGGGTTTGCCAGAAAAGAGGGGGGGTTTGCTAGAAAAGGGGGTTCTCCTGAACCATAAGGCCCCACCCCTGGATACGGGCCTGTATGTATTGGGTATCTGAAACTGTCAAAATGTAACATTCACAAATGACAGCAAATTGATGTTTCTTTTAGGTGGGATTCTTTTTGCTAAAAAGATGCGAGAACAGGGATATGTGACGATGCTGGATCCTTTCCAGCAGAAATATGGAGAGCGGATGGGAGGATTGCTTTTTCTACCTGCACTCTCTGGAGAAGTGTTTTGGTCGGCAGCTATCTTGTCATCTCTAGGTAACATACAACTATTTTTTAATATAATTTGTTTGTTCCTAGACCTTATGGCCTTGGACATTTATTTGAATTTAGCCCTTTGGCAACAACACAAAATAAAAATTTTTAAAACAAAGAGAAATGTTTACTGTGAGCGTCTGTGCAACATATACAAGTTATCATGGATTCTGTATGCAGATAATATATATAGATATTACTTACATAATACTTTTTACATGTATCTATTTCTCATCGAACTCTCATAAAATACAGAATGTAATATAATTATAGTATATGCATAAAGAGTCATTTATTTTTTATTTATTGTGAGCAAATGAGCAGTGTAATTTCCAGTATTGGATAATAAAGTAATCTGTATCAATATCTGTATCTGATTATATTATCAGGCTTCATGAATGAAGTTGTATTTATGTTTCTTTATTCTCTTACATTTAAGTGAGGGGATTTGTTTGAAAGTATTTATTATAATCCCTTATTTATTAATCTCTGTCCAAATTATCAATTATTCTTTAACAAAAAACGGTTGCCCATATATAGTCATGGTGTTGCTATATATGGTTATGATATATGTCATTATGACCATATTTAGGCATCTCACATGTTTTTTATCAAATCAAATTTGGTAGTGTGGATAGGGGGCGCTTCAGATAGTTTATTTTTTTTTAAACCAGGAGCAACCGTGAGTGTTATCTTGGAGATCAACCTTCAGATAGCGGTCATCATCTCTGCGTGTATCGCAGTGTTCTATACTCTATTTGGCGGCCTCTATTCTGTTGCTTACACCGACGTCGTTCAGCTCATTTGCATATTCATAGGCTTGGTAAGGATTAATTTATGTATGTTAAATAATTGTGTATAAATATGGTTAATTTTTATTGCAACATGGGCGTACCATGAAATCTTAGAAAAAAAAAATTGTTTTTTGTGCTGGAATTTTATTAATTGATTAACAAAGAATATGTTGTATGGTTTTTTGATTTTTAAAGTACATTACCCTACAAAATATGTTTTATTGTTTTGTTATTAATAGACATGTTTATCAGACCAAACTTGACTACACAAGCATGCACTGTGTATCAATTCTACAGATGTAGTGTGACAAGTCTTTAAATTTTTATGAAAGGTTTCTTTCTTGTTAGATCAAGTAATAAAAAAAACATGGTCATGCTAAAACTATACAAAAAACACTGTTTTTGTTAACAATCATATTGCCGTTCCTCGCCACTTAATTTTCACATTTATGTATTAATATGTTTGAAGTCTCCTCGGTGCTAAGGCTGTGCCTTGTGAGGAGCTCCGTGTGAAATATTGAATAAAAATAACTTAAAAAAACAAACCATCAAATTTGCTGTTTCTAGTACTTTTACACTGTTCTCACTGTATACTGTTCCAACAAAATGGCCTAACACTAGTCGCTAAATCGATCTATCATGTGATTTTTTTCTCGATCATTTTTTTTGCAGTGGATATGCCTTCCGTTTGCTTTGACCAGTGAGTATGTCGAACCGATATCCGAGTCAAAATCTGAATGGCTAGGAGAGTGGGATAGTAAATACACAGGTGTTTGGTTGGACTCTGCCTTGCTTCTGGTGATTACAATTTTACATATTTATCACATGTTTTCGTTTCCAAAGTACTGAATCATTATTTGGGGGTTACAATTTATATAATTTCTGGGAGACAATTGATAATACAGTAGTAAGAACATGCAAATATTGTAATTTTTGGGAGATGAGGTATTTTTTCCAGGAGATTCATGCTAGCCCATAGGAGTGTGCGAGATTGTCCAAATTTTCGGGAGATTTCCACAGCTGATGGAGATTGTATTGTTATAATTAATTATTAATGTTATTAGTATTTACTGTCAATTAACATCAATTTAATTCTTATTTTGATTATTTTTTTTATTTAGATATAAACAACTAAGACAAACATACATTAGAAAAATAAACAGAATGACAAACATAAATATAGCACAGTGCAACCATTTACATGGCAATCAAAATAAAGATAACAGACTAAATCATGAAAATTTTAAACCTCTCAAAAACAAAATGTTTGAAGATCTTATTACAGAAGACAAGCACTTGCCATACTTCAATATCAGCTTAAAACATTAGGTAAAAAGTTGTATAAGTATATGTTCTTTTGAATATAAGTACATATGTTGGTAAAGTATACCTTCAAAGTTGGTCTTATTGTGTGTTTAGAAAATTTCTTTCCTTTTAGAACTTAATAGTGCCAATTTTTGTTACCCTGTAAGTTTTAATAAAAATATAAACATCTAAAATCAATGTTCATTCTAATATGGTACAATCATGTTTTTATATAATTTCTCATCATGATGTACACAAAAGCTATTGGAGGCTTTTTGCAAGAAGGCATATATAGTCATTGATATTAAATTTATATTCATCATCAATAATCACATTTCACAATGTATATTTTAAATATCAATTTAATTCTGGTTTGCAATTTGCATGTTGATATATTGTAGATGCTCGGTGGTATTCCGTGGCAAGTATACTTCCAACGTGTCCTGTCTTCAAAGACTGCCGGACGAGCTCAAGTGCTTTCGTTCGTAGCTGCTGGTGGTTGTGTTATCATGGCAATCCCATCGGTACTTGTCGGGGCAGTTGCCAGGGGAACAGGTGTGTATTCTCTTAATGTCCGTGCTAATTCAGCGGTTTTATAATACAGTTGAACTTGCCTAAAGTCAAAGCTAAAATGGGATTGAAAAATTGTTTGACTTAGATAATATTTGGTTTACAGATTGCTAATTAATGGAAAACACAAAAATTTGGCATGTAAAATAAAATCGACTTAAAAATTATTTTCGAGTTAGGCAAAGTTGACATTGGCAGGTTTAAATGTATTAATCATATAATTATTTAATATAAATTAATACACTCTTTATAAAATTATTATTTAATTTGTGTTCAAAGTAATAATTTTTAGAAAATACAATTTTGTCATGTGAAACTACATTAAAAAAAATGTTTCTTGATACTATGGCAATAAAGTTTATTATCTTTTCTTAAATTTCTTTTATTTTACAGATTGGAACAGTACAGCATATGGAAAGGATGTTGAAAATAGTAACATTGTTCTTCCACTTGTTCTTCAGTATCTTACACCCCCTATTATTTCATTCATTGGTTTGGGGGCGGTCTCCGCTGCTGTCATGTCGTCAGCTGACTCCTCCATCTTGTCAGCTAGTTCCATGTTTGCTCGTAATATATATAAACTCATTTTTAGACAAAAGGTATTTATTTTTACCAATTATTTTTTTTTACATAAGAAAGGAATTTATTATATTTATTACTAGTTTAATGTTGGTATGCTGTATACAGTATATCTTTCCTTTAAGTCAAGATTCAAGATTTGTTTAAATTTGTTTTTCAGGAAAATGAATATCATAAATTATGATTATACATTAAAAGAAATATGGAATAAATTATTTACAAAAATATAATAAAACCGAATTACTAAAGTAATACTAAAAAAATTTAAAAATATATATTTTTCAATAAAGATAAAGATTTAAAAGTTCTATAATATGATAATGTATTTACCTTACCTTTTTTCTTTGCCACAGGCTAGTGAGCAGGAAATTTTGTGGGTGATGCGTGTAGCCATCTTTGCAATGGGAATTCTATCCACCATTTTATCTCTGACTATAAACTCCATCTATGGACTCTGGTACCTCTGCTCTGACTTCGTCTACGTAGTCCTCTTTCCACAGCTATTCTGCGTAGTTTACTTCTCTTTCTGTAACACGTACGGTTCGCTAGCTGGCTATATAATTGGTTTGTTTTTGAGACTTGGTGGAGGGGAACCTTTACTCGGCCTTGAACCATTTATTAAGTATCCATACTACGATGACGTAGACGGACAGTTATTCCCCTTCCGTACGCTTTGCATGGTCGTCTCTTTCATCACGATTCTAGTCGTCTCCGTATTAGCCCATTGGATACTCACATCCTTTGGACTGGATAAGAAGTGGGACGTGTTCCTCTGCATCACCAACATTCCTCTGGATCCAACCGAGAAATATGGTCACATGGAGATGGATGCAAAAGACCCTGCGAAAGGAGAGAAAGGTGAGTTGATACCTGATGGGGCAAGAGATTATGGCTCGCGGAATCGGGATACTCTTGATGTTGGCAAACTATCCCTGCCAGAGTCAAGTTCGAAAGAACCACTGAAGAGTGATTTCCCAGTAACACCAGAGCATTCGACAGTAGATTCATACTATGAGTGAAAATTGTTTCAGAATACATTCTACTTAACTACAGAGTGTTTATTGTTAATATAAATTTATATAATTATATAGACCATAAATGTATTTATTTACTTATTACCATTCTGAAACAAATTATATTTATTGTGATGTTATAGATGTTTAGGAAGTTGAGACTTGCTTTAAAAACCAAGTTCTTTAATATTTATTTTGTGTGCAAGACATCTAAATATTTCAATATGTCTTTCAATTCAGATGGAATTTCTATTTGAATAACAAATAGCTGCATCTACGTTTAGGCCAAACAAATGTTCAGGATTTATATCTGTGATGCCAGTTAAAACTATCATAATAGGCAATGCAGAAATCAGTAGCAATATGCATAAATTAACATTGTCACGTCTTTTACAAGGGTTTGAGAATTTTTGCCATTTCTATAAATTGGACGTGAATGTATGACATCATCGAAATGTGTGCTTTCTGTGATGTAAGCAATTTTTAAAAACATTAGATTCATAATCAATTTGAGTATTTAGGGATGATGCAATAAATGAGTGCAATTTTGAATTATTTATTAGAATTATAGTAAATTACAATTATATAAAAGAGCAATAAATAAGTATAAATCAACTGATTTTATGAATAATTATCATCAAACCTTATTTAAAAAATATACTTGTATATGTAAATTGAAATCAAGAGTTTGTATTGCAAATGATAACTAGGGGAAAAACCACATGTATTTCCAAAATTAATTTATTTCATTGCAATATTTTATGTTTAAATTTTTAACACAGGTATAGTACATTATTATTGATAAATAATTATACAACGCTGGACTGAAATTTTGTATAAACAATTTTAGGATATAGCAGGATGATAAAAAAAAATTAAAACAAAACAAGTTACCTATCTACTTAAATGCAATGTTGTAGTACTACTACATTGAGTTGAAGAAATAGTTTGGGAGCTTAAAAACTCGCGATAATATCTCTACAAATTGCTAAAACTTCAAATTATGTATTTCTTTTATTTTTGTACAAATATGTTGGTTCATTAGAAATATTGCTTTAAAACATTGGCTTTTCCGAATTTCAAGTTAACTGGCCAATTTTTTGAATTTTCATTTACTTTTAGATAACATGGAAACAACGTACACTATTGTGAGGTAAAATACAGTCCATTCACAATAGGGATTTGTCCTTTTAAGATCATCAACATCTTTGCTAATTACATTTTGCTTGTTTTTCTAACATATCCTATTTGCACAAAATCTCTATTATCCTAAATATGATACTCCGGCTCTCCTTGGTTCGACAAATTGCAGCCAACAGGGGATTTGGCTTTCATCTGAGAGGGGCTTAACTCCCCTACTCCCGCTGGTGTCATTATTAAAGCACTCGCCTAGCACTGCGGGGAAATGAGATCTGTAACTTACAAATGTGTTTTTGTTTCGCTTCCTTATATTCTTTTATGGAGTTGGTGTGCAAAAAAAAATGCACTACTAGCTATCACATACCTGGGTTAGCTTCAGGAGAGAGATGAGATCTGTAACTTACAAATGTGTTTTTGTTTTGGTTCCTTATATCCTTTTAGGGAGTTGGTGTGCAAAAAAAAAATGCTCTACAAGCTATCAATACTTGGGTTAGCTTCAGGATAGAGTTTCACATTAAAAAAAACTACCTCACTGGGCGCATTGTTACTTTTGATATATTTGCACTGGTCCTTACTTGTTCAATCTACCAGTTTGAATCGACACAATAGGCTAGTATAGAACAATTTGGCATAATTTGTAAGTAATCTTACATAAAATGAAATCTTGAAATTTTCATGGTTGGTTTGATAGGTAAGTTTGCAGGGCACTATGATATAGCGCTTCACCCGATATATATATCATGATATTCAGATTCATAGATTACACCTTATCTTTCAAAATAATTCCTGCACAACCACCCCCACCCCTTCCCACCATGCATTTACATGTTGGTCATGTGCATGTTTGTTTTTAGCATGTTTTAATTTTGATTTCAGTTTTTTGTGCTATTTGCCGACAGTTGCTTTACATTTTATTGTTCATAATAAATTAAATACACCTGGTATGTAAAAGCATGCTCATTTGAATGATTTACTAATTTAAATAATCATTTGCATAATATATATAATTTGCATGATTGGTATAATCAGTATAAAATTCAAATAATTTAATAGATTTGAATTTGTTTTACATCATTAAAAAAGAAAAAATTCGAACATATAAAATATTCAAATATGAAAGAAAAACTATGATTGTAGCAAAATTGTTAAGAATTAGCAAAGAAAATTCCCAATTGATAATAATAATAACCAAGATTTCAATACCTATGCTCCAGTTGGCTGAACTGGTCGTAGCCACTGTGTGTGCGTTAAACCGTGGAGATCTCCTGGTCCCAGTTCAATTCCCAACGCTGCTCTACTGTGTTCCAGTTGGAGGGCTGAATGCCCTCCAGATATCACACCATCTTTCGGATGACATGTTTAAGCTGTTGGTCCTGTGTACATTATGGCCCATGTGCACGTCAAAGTACACAGTATACTCTTCGGAAAAGAGTAGGGGATTGTCTCCCAGTGTACTGCCCAATCACCACCAGAAAAACCTCACTGGAAATAAGTCTTCTTCAGACAATTAAATCCAATCCAATAACAAATAAAAAACCACATTTTAATGGTCCAAACCAGGTAAGTAAATATTGACATTACATTGTCAATTATGCTGAAGAAAAATAGCACGTAAAGAGATGTTCTAGGATTGATTAAATCAGGATGGTGTAAAAATTTATCAACAACCATATTTTGGTGGTTTGCACCAAAATTATCCTCCAATCAGCATTGCTTTTAACTCATGTGATTTATGATGTAATTGTATTTACTTTTTTGTTACATTTTTTGTTATGCAGGCTTTTTGCTTTGTATTTGCTTTTATCATTTTATGCATGCTCCTCCATGCTTCATCATTTTATGTATTTTTTTCCCCATTTTTTTCCTCTTGAAGGTAATGCACAGCCAATCCCCTTAGCTATTGAAGACTTGCCAACCAAATCAACAGAAGCGTTAGTGGTAACCACTCAGAATGTATGAGGTATAAATCTGTCCAATCAAAATTTTTGAGGTAATACAGTCAAGTTCAATGAATGATAATTTTTAAAATTGGTACTGTATATATTCCGTTCATTAAAGATGCATCAAGGACATATTTTTGAGATTCTACCTTTTATAATTTCAAATACCATAATTTAATGGATATTGTAATTTATGTTGAATACAAATTCAAAGATTTAATAAAGTTTTTAATACCTTTTATAAGTAAAGCAATTGGTGGTGATAGTTTATCAACTATTTACATAAAATGGCTGATTTGTACTTGGTAGTGATTATACCATTATCAAAACATTTTTTTCCAAGAACATTCCTATTTAATTACTGTCTTTAGCGCAAATTTTATAATTGTGTTGCTAAACAAATCAAAACTAATTTGACATTAATAAATAACCCACCCTACCCATAACTGTTGAATAAAAATGTCAAAGGTCATAATCAGGCCAAACTAATTGACCAATCAGAACATACTATTTAGTAGCCACATTTACTAACTTTGATGTGAATTAATAACAAATTTAGTTGCCAATATGGGAGGGTCATCTATTATAGTCAGTACAATAAGCCAGTCAGCTTAACTGTTTAGTTAAATATGACTGTAAATATTAAGTTATTAATTTTAAGGTGTCTATTTTGTATTGTATGTATTAGCTGTGACAATGCAGAATTTGTTGGTATTTTATCATTGTAAATACCTCTGTAGATCTACACTAGTAAAAGGAGGCAACAAATGCATTAATGATTATAAGGTGATTTGCATGTACAATTTAAATTTATCTATGGTGTATTGTGAATATGGTTTTAATATGTGGTATTAGCGCAAAGTATATTTTGGAAAAGTTTTTTAGAATTTGTGAGTACTTAGTGGTTGGTTTAAGTGGGCCTGCCAAAGTATCTGTCCACTCTAGCAAGATTTATGATACAAATATCTGATTCCCCATACAGTATATTCCATATATGGCATATATTCATCATATCCATATATGGGCAGCTTACAGTTATGCCACGTAAAACTTGACATAAAAATTGATGTTGGTCATGATAAACGTTCTTTTCCAGTAGTCAGCTGGTCTAATAGTTATGCCACCATTTATTATACATGTTTCATCTTGACCTGTTAGAAAGCTTTTGCTATGTTGTTTGAGAAAGAACCACTAAGAAAAGTTTTGCAAAAGTCATGATTTTTAAATGACATCACCAGTTTAGACATTGTTTTATCATATGCTCATAACGCAACATTTAGCCGTTGGATGCTGAGCGATGAATCGAGAATCAGAAAATGAATGTATTTGTGAGTATTATCTATGAGTCTTGAAATGTTGGGGGAAGGGTTGTAGTGGGGCCTCAATGATTAAGTGGAGAATGCTACCTCACTAAATTAAAGACAATTTTTAACTACTTGAGCATATTTTCTTGCTTTTGAACATTTCCAGTAGGGTGGGGGGGTGTGCACACCCCTTATATGCATACTCCATTTCAGCAACTGTGTCACCATGGCCCAAGTGCTTACCACGTCCATAGTAAGACTGCTGCCACCAAAAGTGCTCAGTTCTCAGGGAATGTGAAACAAAATAACAAAAGCCAAGTTTTTTTACCAGCACGAAAACGGGATCAAGTAATTTTCTCAGTGAATCGATTCTTGAACGAGATAGTGAAAGCTCTCTTTTAACTTAGGGATTTTTGATACTGTGAGTTGCATTGCAAGCAATGTTCATTTACTATTGCTAATGGTTAATTTCAGGGAACACTTGCCCATGGTGGTAGGATGTTAAACTCTGTGGCATAAATGTTCAGTGCCATCATACCGCAAATATCATATTCTAAGGAGTCTTCCTTTAATCCTGGTTGTACAGTACTTGCTATACAGTATATACAATTAATACATTTTATCATGACTGTTCAAACAGTTACACATATGGGAGGTAAATTAAAATCTGATTTTATGAACATTATCTCAACATATTTTAAAATAATGTATGTATAAATATCGTAAGTTTATGTACAATGATGTCTGTATTTAAAAAAAAGTAAAATACTGTAATAGATATATCAATGTACTGTAAATTAAAGGGCTATTTAAACACACACTCTCATTAACAGTGTATACATAAATTTATTTTATATATATATATAAATATGGAAGTATTTTGATGGGAGTTTGTGTATGAAGCAGAACATAGGGTGGGTATGTATTATGTATATGTATGTATACGTCTAAAGATAATAAAGAGAATATACCACCGAGTTAGAATACGTTGCCATCCTTTGTATTTATTGTTCATTTTCATCCTAATTCCCCCGTTTGCAATTTTTCATTTAGTACATTTATCTCAGTTAATGATAGTAATAAGGTGTACTTCTCGGATGAACCGATCTTGAGCGATGTAGCGTACATCTTCTTATATTCTGTGCAAGCCTTTTCATTGTCTTTGTTACTAAAAGAAAAATAATATCTTGTTAAGTAAAATAATGATATAGAGAGCCTTTTACTAAGGGATATTTTTGGGGCGGGGGGGGGGGGGTTCAGCCTCTCGACTGGATGCCTAAGATTTCCTGCATAGCATGTGTTGCCAATATACAATAACTGATTGTCATGGATACAGACTATTTAAACATTTTTTTTATTTTTTAGTCTGAGGAAGGACTAGAATTTAATCGAAAGCTCAATCCACACTATCAAGTTATATGTGAAAATATCAGTTATTTTGCCCATATATGGGGAAGATATGAAAACATCATGCCCATATATGGGCGAATAAAATAAGATTATATTCAAATTTAAATCTGAGATTGCCATTTCCGGTCATCTAAGAGTTGCCATAATCATAAATTTTCTTACCTCAGCCCAAACCATGGTGGTGCTGAGGTTGTATAGCCCCTCTATTTGAAATTTCTAGATCTGCCACTGATTGTTAATATAGACATTTTGTTTTCTTCTGAGACAATACTGTTTTTCTTACCGTTTCATAGTAGAGTGAATTTTGACAAGGTTGAGGAGCACATATTGAAGCCTTGCTTTCAGAATGCCTTCAAGTCTTTTGACCTCTGCATCTTCATCTATGCCAAGACTATCACAACTCTTAGAATTACTTTCTGTTGTACAAGTATTGGATGGTGTGTTCTGTTTTCCACCTCTTTCATTTGATTTATTTTCAATATCTATAGAAACGGATGTAGTGCTGTCAACAGCTTCGCAAACGGATGCTTTTGAATTTACAACTTGCTGACATGCGAGTACCAATGATTGCTTATTTTTGCTAGATTCAAGTTTTTGTTCAACTTCTGTTTGTTCAACTTCTGTTGTAGAATCTAATTCTGCAGCCTGTATTGGTTTAGGATCCTCTAATGTCGAACCTTGAAATTTTCTTTCTGATTGATCTGTGGATTCCAGTGGAAAACCTTCTTCCCTTACAACGGGAAGACTATAGTTTTGTTTACATTTTTCAATTGCTAAATTGTCTGGAATTTCTGAGGTAGGTTGTTCACCATGATTCTTGACTGGTTCAACTGTTTCTGAACAAGAAGCCTGTTGTGGTGGTTGAGAAGTGGATTGTTCTTGCTGTAGCATTTCTATTGCTCCTTTGCACTGCAGCAACATTTCCAAACAGCACTGTAAGGATTTTATCTTAGTTGAATTTCCTGTTTGACCTATCACCATTGAAAGTGGACAAATAAGCTCATTATTTACTGTCAAGAAGTTTATAAAAACATTTTATAGATGATTCAAACTAGTACAGGATTGATATGTTGATAAATATTAGGATATTACAATTCTCTATCAAGTACTGAAAAAATAATTATGATGGCAAATTTATACACAATCACCCAACACAAGGCTACAAAGAATTACAAAGGGAGGAAAATTTAGGGTAGATGTAGCAGATTGGGAGCATTGTTATATTAAAAGAGGGGAACCCATCAAATACGAAATAGGAGCTCCCAGGGAGGGACATTCACCGATGGAGGTTAGTTGGGGCTAATGTAAGAAAATTTATAATTTGCATATAATTTTCCATTTTAAGAAATAATTTTGAAATATTCGGGGGACCCTGGGCAGACTGAGCCCCTCTTGAACCCGCAACTGAAAACTAATCTTACTCCTAGTACTAAGAATGAAAAAATCAATTGTAAACTTGATCAGGAATATATAGAGTTCCCTCTGAAGACAGTTTCTACACTTACTGTGAAATTGGTGCTCAATCATTGCCATTCTTTCAAGTAGTACCCGTAGTAGTTCTGTTGGTCTCTCCAAAACTCTGAAAAGTTTCTCGGCTTTCTCGTAGTTGTGGTTAGCAAGAGACCTTGTGTAGCGCTTCTTTTTATCTGACACCTAAGCATCATAAAGGTCGCAAGAACAGAAAAAAGTGTATGTTCAGTGACTTTACTTTATTGATTGATTCAGTTTAGGTAGCATTTCATATAATCGTCATGATACAATTCTACCATGATTGTGAAACCTACACCACAAGAAGTTCTAATCTATTAATTTATTGACAGCTGATCGGTAGGAAATCAAAAGGTGTTAACAGGGACATTAAACCTTTGTTTTGACTATCAATATATTACTAAAATAATCTCTTTCCTGCGTTTGTGCCATAGTTGTGCAATGCTGCTGAGGATCACTACTCCTCCACACAGTGAGTCAGTTTGGCTTCCCAGCTTAAGCCCCTTTATACACCTGGGTAAAGACAAATAAAATGTCTTAGGACCTAAACGACTTGTACAGCGAGGGTTTTGACAGGCTGAGCCACAACTATTTGCACCAACTGCTTCCTTATTAAACACTCATAAAGCATATTTGCCTAAAATGCTAATGTGTTTGCAAATTTCCCTGATAACTGAATTGGGGCAATAATGGAAGCTGCTACACTGCCTTGGAAGCCTAAAACCTTTAGCTCTGCACCACAAAGATGAATAAAACACCTATACCTGGTTTCTTAGTGAACTATGATACATTGAGCCTAATCGATGGTAGACGTTTGCTGTACGGAACTGATGGAGGATGGCGTGACTTGACGTTGGTTCACTCGACTCTGACAACGACAACACTTGGTGCATCAGATGCAGAACCTCTTTTTCAACCTAAATAAAAAACAGATAAAAATTGCAGTAAGTATTATACTGTTGTATTTACTTATTCTGAAAGTGACAGTCATCTGTTGCAAATTAAACATCCTGAGCCTTCTGCTCTCTGATTTGCATAGCCTAATTCACATTTAAAGTAATATGCTTCACTGGCTTTTATTTTGTGTTTGTATTCATTTACTATTTTTTTGTCCACACTTTCAAGTTGTGTTTAATATGCATAGACCAGTATCTTGCACAAATGAATGATGTGAACACACTTTTAAATATACAGGTACATTAATACATATTTTATATATTATAATAGGATTCCATATTTATTTTAAATTGAATTAGTTAATATTTGTGCTACTGTTTACCTCTTCCCTTGTTAGCTTTGAGAGGGGAGCATTGTCTTGCAGTGCTGTTGCCATGGTGAAATAAGTTGTTGACAATTCCCATGTAATTGCATCCCATATCCCAGGGTGCACGGTTCTATTCTTGAGTATACTCTTTCCCTTCTGATAATAATCAACAGCCTGTATTGATGATAATCAAAATTCAATTAACATAAATTATTATAATGCATTTAAATGAATTTTATTCATTGCATGTAAATTGTATAAACTCCCTTTACTATGTCCACCAATTTCCCCCACCCTCCAGCCCATTGTTGTTGTGTAATACTACTTGCAATTAATCTTTACCAACAAAACAACCAGATAAATTTTAAGATTTATCTGTCCTTTAAGAAAATCAGTTGGTACATCACATCACCAAACAGAGTGTGAGGTTAATACAAAACAATGAACAACAATATAATTATAATTTGGCCGTAAGACTTACTTGATATTATTTTGATATAAAGAATTCTAAAGGATAGTAGTATGAATGACTTTCCCCAGACAAATGCACATCAAAATGGGTTTTTCATCATTAACTTAACATTTAGTTTGTATATTTTTATTACTTTTCTTGAGGGTTACTTTGGCCTTGTTAAATATAGTACTGTATTTATAGATAAATAAAGCCAATGATCCTAAATTGCATTTACCTTTAAAAATACTTTGTGACAATAATAATGTTGTCATTCCTTTAAAGATTTCATGTTAAAATCTGACCTTATTAAAATAATGCCTCTCATCATCACTGAACTCTCTAGACCGTCCTTCGTCCCATTTCCCCATGATGGCCTGAGCGCATGTCCTCATCAATCGGCCCATGTTGTTGTAGAGTAAGGCAATGTTAGCAACATCCTCAACAGCTTTGAATGCTTTCAGTGCTTTTTCAAAACATTTGTAACTTTCAGACCACAGATTCTGTTCCTCCTCCAAAGTGAAAGCTTATTATTAGAAGAAAAGTATTATTATTGTTATTGATATATTGTTAAGTTGTAATGGCCAGTGAATAAAATAAGTAGTAAATAAAGATCACTTTTTAAACTAACGTAAGATATATTTAACACATTATTTTTCCCCTAATGGTCTCTGATAATTATTATTTTATTTCATGCTACAGTAATGTCCATCAATACACAGATATATGTAGTTGGCGATGGCTGGAGAAAATCATTTGAAAATTCAGTTGTGCTTTCATTCCCGGTTGTTTGTGTGATGCTAAGCTGATATTGAGGTTTACAAAGTGAAGATGTTTTTCAGTAGTGAGAACAGTTTGTCATTGATATTTTCGTTTAAAAAAAAACATAAAATGTTTGTACCTTTCTGTCGTTTTTTAATTGCAAGATTCATAAACCAGATTCCGAGCTCATTACGTGTACTGCCAAGCTTTCTCGTTATTGTAATTAGAACGTCAGGGTCGTGACCTTCACCATAATGATCCAAAATGGACTCATAACAGTGATTAGCAGTTTCCAAGCAATCTTGTCTAACTGACTGGAATTGAACTGCCCATGACAAGTCTAAGATACAAGAAAAAAATTACAACAGAAATAAATTAGAGAATGTGCTTTTATATTATGTGCTAATTTAAAAATGAATATATTATATACATTATATGATAAATAATAATTCATCTAATCTTCTACCTCTGTACTTAACATAGCTACTATTTAGGCTAGAGTTTACAATGTTTATGTCAACAGGTGGTGTAAACAATAATGGTGTTTTTTTTTTAAGCTTAAAATAATTTAATTTATTTTTACCTTCCATTTCAGAATCTACTGTCACATGTTCTAAGATCTTGGACTCGTTTTCAGAAATCTCATTGAACTGTTGTTGGTGATGTTTGACATCGTCCACCATCAGCAAGTGAGCATCTCCACAGATCTCTAAGATCTCACTTATTCTCTTGTTGCAATCACCAATCTTGCATGCATACACATAATCAAAGACACTCTCTACAAAAGGATTTGTAGAGACAAAGCAATACACAAATAAATAATGTTTATATTACATACTGTATTAATATATGATATTATAGATGTAAAGGTAAAAGTAGAATAACTCGCAATGATATTGTGCTAAATTGCATATGGGTGGGGTCCATGACTACCCAGCCGCCGTTCACATCATTGCACAACGACAGGGGCTGAAATGAACCATAGTATCAGGGTAAACCCCTACTCTTCCAAAAGATTCAATGGGTTCTTTGAAGTTGCACGAGACAAATTTGTACACTGGACCTCCATTTTAGTTCCTTATCCTAGAAGACTCGGTTCTACCAACTGAACCATAGGTAAGAAGCAGCTTGAAACGGCGCCAATGTTAAAAAGGCTGCCGTTATCAGTGCCCCTGCCTCACCGCTCGGTAACTTGACTCGCCATTATTATATATTGACTATATATACAGTATATGTATATGGAACTCATAATAATTGTTGCTATGGAATTCCTTCCTCTCGAAGTTCGCAAATCCCCTTCTTAGCATTTTCAAAACACATCTTTTATCTAATACAAAAATAACTCTAAAAAGAAATGATCGACGTTTCGACTCCTTCATGGTGTCATTTTCAAGATCAAATGATGAAGTATAGAATATACAGCAACTATAATCAATAGAAAAAAGCTAATCTACAATGTCAAAGTTCATAACAGTGGGATATTAATCCCTGTGTTAATTCTGTTTCTTCTAACCTTGTTTACATGCTATAGCAAATTTATACACATTGAATTATCAGTTGAAATGCAAAACGGTAGTATAAATATGGCACACGTTGTGACTGTAACGTTTGTGAATGTACAGAAGTACGAAGATTACAATATCTTACCAAAACAGGATAGAGCAACTCGCACATAACGCAGCGCTATCCCATAGCTCCGCATTTGTATCTCATGTTTGGCCAGAATCAGGAAACTGTTAAAACCATCTTGAAGTAAATCCAATTTGTACTTCTGTTGCCACGACTCCACGGGTAAACGCATACCGGGACTGGTTGACCTGGTTAAACTATCGTTGCGAGTTCTGGAGTTTTTCGTACTTGTCTTGTATTTCAATGGGATTGGCTGAGAACTCGTACAAACATTCGATGACTCACAATTTTCGATACATCTCAAACCCTGTAAGGAAATAAGGAATAAACTGAAATATGGCATGATTAATGAATATTCATTAGCCTAAAACATGCAGGATTAATGAATATTCATGAGAACATTTAAGGTTTCAAATAAAAACTGTCTGTTGCCCTCACCTTCACAACACAATCTACAGTCACCTTTGCCAGTTCGTGTGGTGATTTCAGTTCCTTTGTTGTAGCTTTGCTATCCACTGTATTGTCAACCATCTCCCCTGGATTCATCAACCGCCGTACATCAAATTCCAAGGTGGGTTTGATAGCTTCGCTGACCTCTGTGTGGAGCATCTCGGTCAGTATCTCCTCGTCTGTATCGTCATCCGTGCTATGGACTTTAGTCAGTAACGTGTGACCTAGAAGGAACGTAGCTGCTGCCATTATCTGGCAGAAACATGTGTTAAAACTTCAGTTTAATAATATCATTTTAATGCATTATTTTTCATGACAGTTTTTGTACTACCTTGCTGCCTCTAGCTACAATAATTTTTGTGACAAAATCATGCTCTTAAAATACTTGGCCTTGCTGTGACTAAACCTGGTGTCCCATTTTTATTTTCTTGTTAGCTTACAGAAGTTAACAATCCACTAAAATAACTTTATTTATCATGCAAATTAACTAAAATTGGTAATTGGTAATGAAAGAACTTGCATACCTCGGTGTTGTCCTGTCCTGTTTCTTCTAGTAGTTCAATGCAATTTGTTAATAATTTGCATATGACATTTCTGTTGAAATAAGTGTATAAATTACAAATAAAATATTATAATTATTATTGTTGGAGGAAAAAATGTCCACAGCAATTAAGTTTGCTTTTTGTTTATCCTGACAAAAGGGAATTTTCTTGTTGTTTTTGTCCATTGTATGTATTTTAAAGTTTTGGCAATATAAATGAAATGAAATCAAGTAAGTTGACAATTTTGTGACTATAATTTATACTTTCCTGCATTTTCTACCTTTTTACAATTTTTTAATTGCACTTACGAATATTCATATTTTCACCATTTTACCATCTATAATAACATTAATTTCATTAATGCAATAATTGGATAAAATTGCATATTTTTTTACCATTTTGGAAAATGAACAGAAAAAAATTGAAAATCCATTATTGAAAGCTAATATACCTTTTACTTGGGTCAGAAATTGACATGTTCCTGGCAACCTTATAGAGTAAGAGGGCAACAGGCATCACAAATGGATTCTTTCCTCTTTGAGTTGAATCCTCATACAAGCTACTCAGGTCATATAACTTGATGACATCATCATTGTTACCTAGAAAAAAATACAATTCATAATCATACAACAGAATAACTGTGTGTGTATTCACCATTTATCCTGCTTGTTTTTGTGTTTTGTATTCTGAAACTATTTGAGTCTACATTTTAATTCTATTGTAATATCCAATCTGTTATTTTATGATTATTCCTTCAAAAATTTGTGACAAGGTATTATTATGAAAATCTAACTTTCATACTACGGTTTTAAGGAGGTATCTTTTTGGTGATCATGTAATAGAGCATGTAATATTGTAATACTGTTCTTAGAAAATAAAAGTCTCAATGTTCTACCTTATTACTTTGTATTAAGTTGTCATTTACCTTTAAACAACCAGTAGGTGTGGCCTTCCTGTGTGCAGTTGCTCTTGATAAATGACAAGATATTCTGTGCGACATCCTTCACAACCTGGGGTAGACAAACATCAAAATAAAATTATTTATATCTTGATGGTTTGAATAGATGATGTAAAAACTTGCTAAATTGATTGATTGAAATTATTCGATGCTCAATTTGCACTAACAATATACACAATTTATGAGCATCAGGAACGCCCATTAGGAGTCCAACATGCGGGGAAAATTATGATGTGGGCGGAGGTATGCACTTCCAGAGTGCCTCTAGTTTTTATTATTTATTCCAATCTTATGGTCCACGACAAAAGCCTTCATTCTCTTAACATGCACCATATTTGTATGCCTTCTAAGTCCTTCATTGGCTGATGAATCCATCTTCACTGTGTCAGCATTTGACAGTGTAACGCTGTCTATTAATTCGTAACATTGTAGTTTTCATTGAATCACATCGACTTAGATAAGATCTTACCACTGCAGAAATTATTTCTTAAAAGAAACGCTTGCCTTTGGGGAGAACTGTGCTTGAGAAATGTGTGGAATCTCCTCTGTTTTAATGACCTCATATTTTTGGACAAAGCCGTCAAGATGGTAACACATGGCGAGCTCTGGGACATTGCACATCAGGTTGTCCAACCAGTAGTCCATACCGGTCAGAACATTAATAGGGCTGTTAGTATCTCTAAGAAAGCGAAGAGAAAAAAAAATACATCCATTATGTTGTTGCCATTCCTACAAATGTTTTTAAAACTATACATCAGCTGTTGGATACACAAAGCCAAAATTAAGACACACATAGGGCTGTAGGAATACCATGAAACATCAAATAGAAGCCCTTGGGCCCCAAACCCTCTTTACTTTGGAAATTTAAGCCCATCTCAAAGAGAAGCTCATCCAAAAAGTTCTGAAGAAGAAGTTGAGGGCTTCTATTTGAGGTATATCTGATTTTTCATTGGTAGAGTCCTTACAAAAAGCCAAGTGCATTAACTTACAGAAGTAATCAAATGATGCTTTTTCTAAAGCCACGCAATGGAAATATACCTTTTAATTATATTTGAACACTTACAACTCATGATCTCAAAACTTGGAATTAGACCACTAATACCATATTGACAACAATTAATAATGTGCAAAAATTACCTTAATCGCAAACTAACTGCTGGGAATGTGCCCCCACCAAATATTGGTAGATCAGTGCCTAGTAACATGCTGATGTCCTCAAATTTCCACAGAACTTGTCTTGCAAAATCACACACTGTTGGCTTCACAAAAAGAAACACATATTAAAATTCAAATGTATTGAAATAAAGTAATAGTTTGTGTCTGCTGCCCCTGTAGAGACTGTAGACATACCGTCTCACTTGTAAGGTGTGAGAGTAATCAGGTTTGAGAGTTCAAAGTTCAAAGAGAGGAATTATGGGATACTATTGCATCATAAGCTGAAAATAGAAATTAAGTCTCCCAAACGTAAATCAAGTCTCTACATAGAAAGTATCAACAAAAAAAAATTATGTTAAGCAGTAGATACATGCTCCCACTGGTGGACTATTTTTATATTTGCTCTTGATGGAGAGATTGGTTGGTTGATGAGCATATTGGAAATAAGGATGGATAGATATCAAGGACATACCAAATCCCCAAATAGTATTCGGGAGCATTTTGGATCCCTAAAGCACTACAATATATTTATTACCTTCACCTAAACAGGTGATTCCTGGGAAGGTTTCTTGGGGTGGGGATTTTTCCTTGGACAAGTCTTGGCAATCCAGAATAATTTATCAATGTGTCCATTATGAAGTTTATTATTCTATATTTGTAGAAGGTTATAACTATGTATATATGTACAATGTACATTTTGGGAGATCACTTATGGCAAAGTTGACTAGACAATTTTTTATATAAAGGTAAAGGTAGTCCCGTATTCATTTCTTGAATGTAGGGGAATGAGTTGTTAGCCCATTGCATTTAACCCTCGACATAGTATGGTAGGGTGGCCAGTTCCTTTCCACGGCCCCTTTTCCCTCCCTAGTAGTTAACCACCGGGTACACATTTATACTCCTGGGAGGAGAGAGACAAACGCAGGTAAATGCCTTGTCCAAGAACACAAGCGAAATGCATAGCGAAGGTTCGAACCCCCTACCTTGAGGTTGACAGACCGAAACTCAACCACTGCGCCAACAATGTTTAATATAAAATGATAAAATTTATGATTACCTCAGGGGAGGATGCCTCAGGAACTTGCTCTAATTCCAGTGCATCTTGATCGCACTGTCCAATGCTGGAAAGGAAAAAAAAGCAGGTACAGTATGGAAATTTTAATTCAAATGTTTTATTCCAATACTATGATCAGGGGGCATGTTAATAATCAGGGGCAGATTCATATTTGCAAACATAGGGCATTGGGAACCAGGCGGTATAGAGCAAAGGGGTGGAATGAAAGTAGTGTAAAGGAAATTAGGATACGAGGCGAGGGCAAAGAGATGGGAGGAAGAGGTGAGAGCAAAAAAGAAGTGAGCAAGAAGTTGGAGAAAACAGGTGAATGTTTTTAATCCATTCTAGTAAGAGAAATTGTAATTTTGTTAGCTGAAACAGGGGCCCCTGGATCTGCCACTAGTTATCTAATGTATCAAAATATATTTCATGTCATTAATCACATGCCTGGGGTAGATACAGAGACAGATAATGTCTTTCCATCTGCTTACCTATGATATAAAAACTTTGATAGGAGATTCCATTTCTGCGAATTTTCTTTGTGTTTCTTGCGTCGCTTGAAGTTTTTGCCATCTTGAAGTAGGATTCCACGAATAAATGAGTAAAACCAATCGAGATCATTTGACTAGATATGACCGATAGAACAAATACATAGTCCATTTAGATTAAAATTGGAGTGCAAATAAGTTTTGAAAATGGGGTGAGGGGGCTGATCGGGGCACTTGATGTCTAAGTGAGAGGGTGCTAGCTCGCACAATAAGGTGAATTGAGGTGATTTTTAACTAGTTGAGCGTGATTTTTTTTTGCTACAAACATTTTCGTAGGGGACGATGGAGGTGGGGGGGGGAGAGGTTGGTGTGATACACCAATGAACACAGCAAGTCTCACCTGTGATGTCCCAAAGTGTTTGTACAAATCAAGCTCATCAAGAAGCAGTGTCTTATCTATACGATGAACAGCCATGCTGATCTGTGCCTTACTGAATGGCATTTTGAGTAGTTTCTTGATATTCTATAGCAGAGAAAACGAAGCAATCCAATTTATATTAAACTATAATACTATTATAATAGTATTTTTATACAAATGAATAATCACAAATAAGACATTACAAATGAAATAGATATTAGATTATATAATGTTTGTATAAATACCTCTGCTGCAGTAATTACATTCACTTCAGTCACCGTTTCCAGATAACTCTCTGCCATCAGTAAACTGCAAGCAAAAAATTAAAATGTAGGAAATAATATTAACAATTAAGAAATATTAAAATGTTCTATCAATACACTAACACAGAGACAGCACTTGATAAATATGACTAATTTACAAAATAATTAATAATAATAATTACGTAATAAAAAGGATTTTTACTGGTCGTATCTTACTTGAAGTCTGTTTTGATTGAATGCAAATATGTTTGAACTTTTGCCTATTCTTTAGTCAGAAGAACTAGTATTTGCCTGACTGGAGACTAAATCTCTGTCCAGATTATTAAATTTTCTTTGATAAAAAAAACTGTTATATGCCCATATTTAGTTGTGATGTGCCTATATATGGTCATGATGTGATGCCATCATGACCATATTTAGGCATGTCACATGTTTTTGTCAAATTCTTGACAGTCTTGACACAGGGCCTATAAGACAATTCCAGGTGGAAATTATTGAGATCCAAGAGCAGAGCCATGTTGGGGTCTGAGACACTGTGTAACACATTATCCCCATAGAAAAAAAAAAATGAGAACCAACAAGTCGTGGCTGACATTGGGCTTGGACAGGGGAATTAAATTCAAATATTCTACCTGGAAAACTTTGCACTTTCACTGTTCAGCCAATTCCTAGGCACTTTGAAGTACTTCTTGCCCCTGAGCCAGTTATCAGGGGCTTCACGGAGGTTTGTGTCAACCTCAATTTGGGAGAAATTAGCAACAGCCATTGTTTTGGGTGTATTATCTTGCACTGGACCATAAGGCTGCTTTTCCTGAAACCAAAAGAAAAAAAATGATATTCACATTGAAGAATAATGGTTAAAAATTGTGAATACTCAAAGATAAATAATTCTGAATACCCCATTTAATTTCAAAAATTGCTTAATTAACATCATATTTTGGAAGGGAGAAAGAATAAAATATAACTATACCAGACTGTAAAGTACATATATATACTATCGTCCGCGCATTTTGGAAAATAAGTGCCGATCCTCATGCAGATTTATGCAGGAAATTAGGCTTGAGGTAATCTTAAAATATAACCAATGTATTATGCATTACCCTGTAGTAGTTAGGATTCTGCACACCTATTTTCCTAGTGACTTTCCGACGAACAAATTTGAGCTAGTTTTTGATTTATCATCAACGCAATTAATTAATTACTTTACAGTATAGTCACCATATTAACATAATTTGGTTTTTTTTTTTGGTTTTTTTGTAGTAAAAGTAGGTTTCTTTGTTTTGTATGCTTTTAGTGTCAAATGCTATTATTTCGTTGAATGCAGTACTGTAGTGTTACCTCATCAACTTTCTGGTCTTCTCTCCCATCATTCAATGGACAATGAACACTTAGTGTTAACACTGGTTTCTCAGTGCCTTTAGTTTTTGAGAATCCTTCCATCTTCTCCGTTGGATGAGAAATATTAAATTGATAACACTCCTTGCGCTTACAACCTACTTCCACAGAACATGAAAAAACAAAACAGACAAAAACGTATGGTAAAAACTTACATTAATCTTGCGTTGAAATACAAATGTTTTATATATATATACTATTTTTAAGATTCAAGTAAATACTTTATTGTCCTATTTTCAAAATAGGGAATTCTTCTTTCCTTTGCAACAGCTGGGTTAAAATATAAAAAGGATAAAATTACAAGACAAAAAAAATGTCAATAAAAAAAAAAAAAAAAATTAAAATATATTTTTAAAGTTTTTATTAAAATGCAGACCATGCATGAATGATTATTAAAATTTAAAATTCTTCTAAGATAAACGTATCTACCTCCTCCACCAACTTAACTAGTGAGTGGACTTCACTGATTATGTGTTAGGCCTAGGCCAAGTACTACCAACTGGCACTTAGTGCACAGCCAGAAGAAAGGACAGTCTTATCGTGGACTATGGATGAATCGAATGCCTTTCTTCTTATAGCCAGGGCCTAGCCTATGCCAAGTAATTCACTTATCTAAGCCTATGCTACAGCTGGTTAGAGCTAGGTCTCTGTTTGCCGACAATACATTTTTACTTTACTGGAACATCAGTGGCGAAATCATTAATTTATAGGCCTATATTATTATCTGAAAACTTCAGTTATGCAATAGGCCTACAAAATACAGACACCTCCTTACACGCTTCAAGAAAAGTTTTGAACAATTGTTTATTATGGAGCCTGGGCCCAGGGTAACAATTCGACCTCAAGGTGGTGATCCATTTTACATAAATTGAAAACGTTAACTTCAAAATGTATAATGGTCAAATTTATATAATAAACCGAAATATTATTATATTTTAATATATATATAAACCATTTATATTGTATATATACACCATTTTTAATTAATTTTCAACAAAGAAAAAGAATAATTTGATTTTTAAATTATTTTACCCTTAATTTAAATGGGGCAAACCATGGCTTACGTTGCAAATTGACGTACAGTAAACATACCCGGCGAAATATGGCAAATCTAATTAGATCAACTGTAATAATATACCTGCAAATACTATGCTTCTGTTTATTTATTTTACGCATATCAGGTAAATTATGTTATTGACTCTTTCTCTGTCAATCATTACAAGTTTTCTTAATTCTATTTCATTGAAATTTAGCCGAGAAAACATTATAGTTTAAAGCCATTCCTGGTGTTCCAGGTGCCCCTCTAGGCTCTAGCTAGTTAGGCAGGCCTATAATATCTATAGTATAAATCAAAGTGACCACCGGCCCCCAACAAGGCTTAAATTAACCTAGGCTAGCTAGGCCTAGGAGCAGAGGCTAGTCTACCTGCCTAGTCCTAGATACATTGATAACCCTCGCTTTTTATAAGGCCAGGTCTAGGTTTTTATTTTTATTATATATATATATATCTGTCTCTTATACACATCTAGATGTGTATAAGAGACAGGTGTATTATCTTGCACTGGACCATAAGGCTGCTTTTCCTAAAACCAAAAGAAAAAAAAATTATATTTACATTGAAGAATAATGGTGGAATATTGTGGATAATCAAAGATAAATAATTCTGAATACCCCATTTAATTTCAAAAATTGCTTATTTAACATCATATTTTGGAAGGAAGAAAGAATAAAATATAACTATACCAGACTGTAAAGTACATATATATACTATCGTCCGCGCATTTTGGAAAATAAGTGCCGATCTTCATGCAGATTTTTGCAGGAAATTAGGCTTGAGGTAATCTTAAAATATAACCAATGTATTATGCATTACCCTGTAGTAGTTAGGATTCTGCACACCTATTTTCCTAGTGACTTTCCGACGAACAAATTTGAGCTAGTTTTTGATTTATCATCAACGCAATTAATTAATTACTTTACAGTATAGTCACCATATTAACATAATTTGGTTTTTTTTTTTGGTTTTTTTGTAGTAAAAGTAGGTTTCTTTGTTTTGTATGCTTTTAGTGTCAAATGCTATTATTTCGTTGAATGCAGTACTGTAGTGTTACCTCATCAACTTTCTGGTCTTCTCTCCCATCATTCAATGGACAATGAACACTTAGTGTTAACACTGGTTTCTCAGTGCCTTTAGTTTTTGAGAATCCTTCCATCTTCTCCGTTGGATGAGAAATATTAAATTGATAACACTCCTTGCGCTTACAACCTACTTCCACAGAACATGAAAAAACAAAACAGACAAAAACGTATGGTAAAAACTTACATTAATCTTGCGTTGAAATACAAATGTTTTATATATATATACTATTTTTAAGATTCAAGTAAATACTTTATTGTCCTATTTTCAAAATAGGGAATTCTTCTTTCCTTTGCAACAGCTGGGTTAAAATATAAAAAGGATAAAATTACAAGACAAAAAAAATGTCAATAAAAAAAAAAAAAAAAATTAAAATATATTTTTAAAGTTTTTATTAAAATGCAGACCATGCATGAATGATTATTAAAATTTAAAATTCTTCTAAGATAAACGTATCTACCTCCTCCACCAACTTAACTAGTGAGTGGAGTTCACTGATTATGTGTTAGGCCTTGGCCAAGTACTACCAACTGGCACTTAGTGCACAGCCAGAAGAAAGGACAGTCTTATCGTGGACTATGGATGAATCGAATGCCTTTCTTCTTATAGCCAGGGCCTAGCCTATGCCAAGTAATTCACTTATCTAAGCCTATGCTACAGCTGGTTAGAGCTAGGTCTCTGTTTGCCGACAATACATTTTTACTTTACTGGAACATCAGTGG